GGCATTGAATTGGGACTCGATTACACGTGTCTAACCTAACCTACACTAACCTAAGCTGACATAATCTAACCCAATCCAACCTGACCTAAATTAACCTAATCTAGCATAACCTAAACCAATCCAACCTGACCTAAATTAACCTAACCTAGCATAACCTAATCTAATCTAACTTACCGTAATCTAATCAAACCTAACCTAACCAAACCAAAACTAAACCTAATTACCCCAGGTAGTAATAGGGAGTTTAATTAGCAGGTGAAATAATCTGGGGGTGGGGGGTAATCTTCAGGTGATCCAATAAGACGAATAAAAATGATCAGAATAGATATGTTACAGTAATTAATATATTTACCAATTATTTAATAAACTAATTTTTCTTATGCAGAGGATATAACAATACTAACGTGGCTGGTTGGTTATAGAACTCGTTTTGCCTGACCCAAGATCCCAGGTTCGAGTCTTGACCAGGTACGACACGTTACTGGTCATTCAGGTGAGGTAGATAACAAGCCTTGGGTCACCTGAGTCTCAAAGTGGCGAGTTATGTAGAGCGAGAATTCCGTAGAGTGAGGAATACATTGAGTTATAATTATGTAGTGAGTATTACGTACTATAATAACCTCTATGCTAATACGTCTTATGGTTCAAATTACAACAAACTTATGCAAAACAACAACAACAATAATAAAATTCCCTCTACCCAAATTCTACAACCATTTAACCTAACTTGACCTGACTAGATATTCCGGTCAAGTGATACCTCGAGGGTCAACCCGAGCTGACCTACATCCACCAAGGTGAACCAAATGACCTTTGCTGACCTTGTGTAAAAACTGGAACGAAACGTGAATTCCCCTAAATTAATGGCATAGTTTATCTTTTTTTTTTGTAACGGTATATTTAAATGCGTTAGAGAGAGATGGTTAGAGAAGGAGGAGGAGGAGGAGGAGGAGGAGGAGGAGGAGGAGGAGGGGAGGAGGAGGAGAGGGAGGAGGAGGAGGAAGGAAGAGACTTCTTATCTTTCCTTCTCAAAGTGACGTATGAAAAATCCACCCTCATTCCCTCTCCCCTCTTCCTCCCCTCACCCACACGCTGCCTCCCTCTCCTCCACCAATCCATTTATTCCTCTACCCCTCAATTCCTTCCCCTCAAACACATTTAATTCCCCTTCCCCTGTCCCCATTTCTCCTCATCTCCCCCCATCACCCCTCACGACCCCTACTCCTATCCTCTAACCCCCCTCTTCACCTTTCTTTCCCTCATCCCCCTCTCCCCTCTTCCCTATCCACCAATGCACTCAGCAGCAGGACAAGTATGGATGCCAGAGGTGGGGCCAAAAAAATACCATTCTCTATACCGTTGAGAATTTAGGTCAAGAGTCTGTGCAGCTGTAATAGTGAGCCATCTATTTTGTGTGTGTATGTGTGTGTAGGAATGTATGTATGTATGTATGTATGTATGTATGTATGTATGTATGTATGTATGTATGTATGTATGTATGTATGTATGTATATGTATGTCTACTTGTTTGTGTGTGTGTGTGTTTGTTTAGGAATGTACTCGTATGTATGTATGTATGTATGTATGTATGTATGTATGTATGTATGTATACCTACTTCTATGTGTATATATATGTGTGTGTGTGTGACGGACAGCCCTAGTCGGCAGGGGAGAAGCCAATGAGATTTTTTGGAGTGATAAAAACTGGATTCCGGATGATAAGTGGAGCTCTGGAGGGAGGCAGAGTAGGATTTTGGAGGGGAAGTGGGATTTTGAGTTTTTGGAGCAAGTTAGAGTGGGATTTTGGAGTAAATGTGGAGTTGTGGAGGAGGAATAGTACAATGTGTAGGAGATGTTGGCTTTTTGGAGTGGCAAGAAGTATATTCTAGGGATTTGGGAGGTTGGGGATTGAGGTTTAGGGATTTTGGAGGTTGGAGTTAAGAGGTTAGGGGATTTTGGAGGTTAGGGGATTTTAGAGGTTAGGGGATTTTAGAGGTTAGGGGATTTTAGAGGTTAGGGGATTTTGGAGGTTAGAGGATTTTGGAGGCAGAAGGAGGAACTTTTTTGGGAAAACTTAAAGGCAAAGAGCTATAGAAGAATAAAGATGCTCTTATTAGTTAACTCTCTCTCTCTCTCTCTCTCTCTCTCTCTCTCCCTCTGTCATAATACAAAAAAAAACGATTAAATTTATTCCAAGTAACGACGATCTGGATTGGATGCCTGAGATACAATGACCCTCCGAAATTTATACAACTCCCGACGCACCCCATCCCACCCACCACCTACCCCACCCCGTCCCCCCACCTCCCCATCCCGTCCCCCCACCAGCCCCCAACTTGCAACATAATTTTTAGCAGCCGAGTGTAATAAATTCCTAACGTGACTTGGCCTGATCTGCATCTACAATTATTAAGCGAGACTCTCTACCAAAATGTTCGGTGGTTAGAGAGGCAATTAATTTTTCTTTTGTTTTCGTTATTTTAGGTTAAGAGGAATCCATGTTTTAATACGGTCCTAAATTGATGTAAATATTAGGATTGGGGGCTATTGTTAGTAAATATTATTGGGGGCTATTATTATGACCTATTATTATTGGGGGCTATTATTATGACCTATTATTATTGGGGGCTATTATTATGACCTATTATTATTGGGGGCTATTATTCTGGGGGTCTGTTAGGAGTGGGACCTATTAAGACTGGGGTCCATTAAGACTGTAGTATACTGAGCTTGGGGCCCATTAGGACAGGTCTATAATCCCAAGAGTTAAGTCAAATTGAGGCATAATTAGACTAAGACCCCAATTAACTACGTCACGTTGGGGCCTAATAGAACTGGTTACACCACGTTGGGGCCTAATAGAACTGGTTACACCACGTTGGGGGCCTAATAGAACTGGGGGCCAATTGAAAGAGTCACTCATTTCTCCCAGGATCGTTTAATTAGGTCAGGGATAACTACGCGGTCCTCTCATTTACAATTCACGAACTGACGCCAAAAGTAAATTATTTTTTGGCGATCACAAATTCCCGTCATAAGGCCGGGGGGAAAAATTGGCTTTGTCTGACTCATCATTTTTTCCCTTTTTACGTCAAAATTTCCTCCAATGAAGCGAAATCGGACGAATTTTTTTTACAATGTTCAATAACACTCTTTGATATATGGTTATAAGCTGTGCCCATTGATACCTATACCAATGTCCTAGTGATACCAATACCGCTATCAATGTCCTAGTGATTGCAAAGGGTACCACTGTCCTAACCTAACCTACTAGCACCAGTATAAGCGTCCCAGTTAACACCCTGTCCTAGTTAGGTTAGGTTAGGTCACTGGTCTAATTCTATACTAATAACCTTCTCTCTCCCTAGCCCTCACCCCCCGGATTACCACTAATATGGCGGAGATCACCTGCCTGGTAATTACCCGTATGTTGACGTACGTGTGTGTGTGTGTGTGTGTGTGTGTGTGTGTGTGTGTGTGTGGGGTGTGTGTGTGTGTGTGTGTGTGTGTGTGTGTGTGTGTGTGTGTGTGTGTGTGTGTGTGCGTGTGTGTGTGTGTGTGTGTGTGTGTGTGTGTGTGTGTGTGTGTGTGTGTGTGTGTGTGTGCTCAACATGCCACAGAGGAGCGGAAACACTAAAGACCTCACTGAACCAAAGGAGAGCTACTAAACGAGCCCAACGACATCAGAGGGCCCAAGGCATAATTCTTCTCAATGAACAACATCCCTGTCACCTATGCAACAAGATCTGCCCCTCCAGGATTGGACTCCATGGTCATCTACGGTGGCATCAGAGGAATAACTCATCAATCATCAATCATCTGGAGCAACGTCGTCAATGACTTCGATGGACTGTGTGTGTGTGTGTGTGTGTTTTTTTTTCTGTATACCCTCATGGTGTTCAAGGCTGCGTTACACGGAGTGACTCCACACCAGGTGCCCGTGTATAGTGGTTACCATTAGATGTACACTGCAGAACGTAGGGAATTACGTGCGCGGATTCAGATATTCCCTTTACGCAACTCTATGTAAACATCCTATACGAGTGTCCATATTTCATCTATGGAAAATATGGTGATAAACGTGCACACACACCCACACACACACACACACACCCACACACACACACACACACACACACCCACACACACACACACACACACCCACACACACACACACACACACACACACACACACACACACACACACCCACACACACACACACACACACACACACACACACACACACACACACACACCACAGTAGAACAATGTCACACGTTTGTTTAAGACCCACACAAAGGCGGCACAGCTGAGAGTATAAACACACGATGTATACTTAGAGATAGTCCACACACAAGACAGCTTCTGCACCTAACTTGGCTGTAGTTAGTGTGTTGTGGGTGCTCATAGGCCAACGCGCTACAGGTTCACAAACTCTTATAAGAAGTTTCACTGCGGTGGTGTGTTTTTATGTCGTCTTGAGACCATCTTGAAGGGGAAGGGTGGTGAGGTTGTGGGGGTGATGACCGTAACCTGACTAGGGAAGGTTTTGGAGTGGGGTTGAAGGGGGTAGCGGCTGTGGTTTACATCATCTATCACAGCGAGGGGAGGATTGTCGCCCAGGTTGGTAATAGCTATGTGGAGGGTTTAATATTAGAGGTGGAGGAGGTGGAGCTGCAGGTGGAGGAGGTGGAGCTGGAGGTGGAGGTGGAGCTGGAGGTGGAGGAGGTGGAGCTGGAGGTGGAGCTGCAGGTTTTGCTGGGAAAATAAAAAGTTCCTATAGCCACCTCCATCATGAATGTCTAGACACTTGAAAGGCGGGGTTGTGTTGAGGTTTGGAGTCACCTTGGCTGGCCATCTTGGAGGGTGTGGGGTTGTTGCCAGGAGGTGAGGTGGAGAAGGAGGACCCAGAGGCTCTCCTGGGAGGTGGTAACACTTTTGTGGCACACGGCCAACTTATAACTTTCTGGATAACTAAGTGGTTGGGGTTAAGACTTACCTTGACCATCTTGGCGGGTGTGAGCTTGTCGCCGAGGTTGATGATGGTGGCGTGGTGGGTGCCAGACTTGAGGCGGAGGAGGACGCGGAAGTTCTCCTGAGAGCTGATAACTTCCCTCTTATGACTCACCACCACAGGGCCGTGAACCTCGTCCTCACCGAAGAAGGTCCAGTGCTCCTGAAGACAGAAAACAAACATCAATTTACAACTAATAGCGTGTTAAGGCAATAACATACATTGTTCCTCATATAGAATTTTTTTTAATGATTAAATACATATAACAAATCAGAACTAAAATCGGAGAACTGTGTGTCGACCGAAGTGTATACAGTACTCCCAGGGTGTTCCTAGCAGTGGTGGTACAGGTGAGTGTGCGCTATATTCACCTATTAACAACAAACACCTGTGAGCACACGTACAGGTGCACTGCCCTCACACCCACTCGTCACACGCAGCTCAGATTATAGTACTGAGTTGTAACATCAACCATATCATATATTACAGCTTATATACAAGTTATATTTTGTTAAAACCTTTACATAGGAAGAAATAGAGAGACCTGTCTTTATCTGTCTCTTTCCAACTATTCTCATACTGTCTACTGTGAACTGATGCGTACCTCTCAATGATCACTACAAGCCAAGTTTGGGAAGCAAGGGAGGACAACATGTCAACATCACTGGTTAGAAGGCAACTAGACAAGACGGCAACTATGGCAACCTCACAACTCCTGCAGCCGGGAAAGCCATCGTGTAGAGAGAGAGAGAGACGTGAGAGATATAGCCCCAGATCTTGGCAACGGGACGACACTTAACACAACCAAAGACTCTCCTCACCCGCTGATCCGATCACTAACTGTCTCTCCTTGTCATCGGCTTTATCGGCACCAGTGGCAGAGGTCAGGTCAACGGACGTCCCAATAAAGTGACTGGCTTTATCGGGAGCCAGTACGAGGTTGCAGGTCAATGGCTCTATATACCAGTTGTGTTATCAGTTAGTTAGTGAGATTAATGGGATGAGTTTGTTCGATTCCATTTCAACTGCAGTTAATTGCGTTCACCGACTGTTTCATTTTAAGTGACTGGCTAATCGCTCACAGGTCCAAGACTGTCCTGAATTGACAAGCTTCTTGGTTTTAGGCTCAATCAATACTTGTGTTTTATTAAGTGACTGACTAATCCGGGCCCTCAAGGCATATATACGCTAAAATAGGTGATTTTTAGGTTAGGTTACGTTACGTTATGTTAGACCAGCAAATCTAAAAAAAAAATACAGGAAAATTACTGATCCAATTAATTAAAGAAACTTCGACTAAACGACTACCGATCCAATGAAATGACGGCTTGGCTAATCAGCAAACCCTAAGGAAGGTTGATACCAATTGCCCATTAACCGCAATCCCTAAAGAAGATAAGGACCGTCCCGATTAGGTGATTAGCTTGTCGTATGCACGCTCGGGAGTGAATGGCTGTCTCGATTCAATGACTTTGGGAACTATGCTTAAATGACTAACTTAATGGACAACCTCCCTAAATGGACCACCTCCATCAATGGACCACCCAGCTATCCCTATTAAGTGATCGGCTTATCGGGACGGTGGCAGGTTGAACGACTGTATCGGGTCAACGTCCGTGCCAGATAGAGGGTGACACCTGTTGCTAATGCAAGGTTGTTGTTGTGTATTCCAGGTCAGGCTGATTCTGTACTACCGCCCCCCCCCCCCTCTCTCTCTCTCTCTCTCTCTCTCTCTCTCTCTCTCTCTCTCTCTCTCTCTCTCTCTCTGTCTCTAGCTATTTATCCAGCTCTATAGCTTATCTATCTATCTTGCTTTACTCTAATTCACACAGATAGATAGATAGATAGACAGATAGATAGATAGATAGATAGACAGATAGATAGATAGATATGAATTAGATAGATACAGACATACAGGCTGATAGATAGACACATAAATAGATAGTTAGATCTCTCACTGCTAGTAATCATGAGGCAGGTATCCCGCCCACCTCGCGTCACAGGTGTGTGGGTCGAGCTCTGATACGTGGCTCACACACCTGTACACCCGCCTACAGCTATTTCCCAAGTTATTTCTCAAGTTATTTCTCAAGTTATTTCTCAAGTTATTTCTTAGATTATTTCTCAAACACACCCCCCCCCCACCTCCTCTCCCTACTCTTTCTCCCTTCCTCCTCCTCATTATCACCATCTTCCTGCTCCTTCTCCTCCTCCTTCTCATCATTTCCCCCTCTTCCTCCTCCTCTTCCTTATCTTCTTCCTCCTCCTCCTCTACACTAAGATTCCTCAGTAGCGTAAGAGGAGAGAGAGAGAGAGAGAGAGAGAGCTTTTGTGTGTGTGTGTGTGTGTGTGTGTTTGTGTGTGTGTTAGCCATCTTTCTTGACCAATGTAAACCAAATATTAGTACACACACAGTATACAACTTTCTCTGTCTGTCTGTCTGTCTGTCTGTCTGTCTGTCTCTATTTACATGATCAACTCTCTGTCTCTGTCTTTATTTGTCTGTTTATCATTCTCTCTCTCTTCGTCTCTTATTGTCTCTCTCTATTTACGAGTTTCCTCTCTGTCACAGTTAAATATGGGTGTAATGGCTGTAGATGGCAACACATCAACGGCATGACAAACAATAAACCCCATCTCTCTTCTCCTTCTCTGTCTATCTATCTGTTTTATACCTGATCCCTGTCTATCCATATGTCTGTCCCTCTGTCTCTTTAAAATTTACTAAAGACTTAATAAAGTGAAGTCAAATGAGAGAGAGAGAGAGAGAGAGAGAGACACAGAGAGAGAGAGACAGAGAGGTGTGTGTGTGTGTGTGTGTGTGTGTGTGTGTGTGTGTGTGTGTGTGTGTGTACATGACAAGCACAGCCACATGACAATATAATGACAAGGCGTGACAGCAATACGCTCTTAGGTCGTCGGTTAATGCACGACTTGGGTGACACATGGCGCCGTGGTCAGGGAGGGCGTGGAGAGGCCCCTGCACACACACACACACACACACACACACACACACACACACACACACACACACACACACTAATTCTGACCCTAATTAACCAAAACATAACTGAACCATTAGAACTGGGGCCCTATTGAAAACCCTGATTCATTAGGGTCTGGAACCCATTAGGTTTAAATCAATTGAGACTCCATTAGATCTTACAGCCAACCAGGTCTGAGCTCACTAGATCTGGGGCCCACCTGGTCTAGGGTCCAGTAAGTCAAGGTCCAATAGATCCAGTCCAATTAGGTCTTGGGTCTAGTAGTCAGCCCATTAAGTCTATACAGTCCATTAGGTCTGGGGTCCATTAAGAATGGGCTTGAGGATAACGAACCCACGAATATACGAACCCACGCAAGACCAAAAACCCACGAACCCATAGCTGTGATACACCATCACCACAGCTCGGCACAGCCATACCGCCAGACCCCAAGCCAGAACCTCCAGACCCCATCATACCCCTGACCCAAGCCAGAACCCAGACCCCATCATACCCTGTCAGACCGAAGCCAGAACCCAGACCCAATCATACACCCTGTAGACCAAGCCTGAACCTCCAGACCCCATCACACCCTGTCAGACCCAAGCCAGAACCTCCAGACCCATCATACCCTGTCAGACCCAAGCCAGAACCCCCCAGACCCCATCAACAATCAGACCCAAGCCAGAACTCAAGACCCCATCACACCCGTCAGACCCAAGCCAGAACCCCCAGACCCACCATACCCCATGTCAGACCCAAGCCAGAACCCCAGAACCCATCACACCCTGTCAGACCCAAGCCAGAACCTCCAGACCCCATCATACCCTGCAGACCCAAGCCAGAACCTCCTGACCCCATCATACCCCCGTCAGACCCAAGCCAGAACCTCCAGAACCCATCATACCCTGTCAAACCCAACCAGAACCCAGACCCCATCACACCCTGTCAGACCCAAGCCAGAACCTCCAGACCCCAACAACACCTGTCAGACCCAAGCCAGAACCCAGACCCCATCAACCCCTGTCAGACCTAACCAGAACCCCAGACCCCATCACACCTGTCAGACCCAAGCCAGAACCTCCAGACACCATCATACCCTGTCAGACCCAAGCCAGAACCCCAGACCCCATCACACCCTGCCAGACCCAAGCCAGAGCCCCAGACCATCATACCCCTGTCAGACCCAAGCCAGAACCTCCAGACCCCACCACACCCTGTCAGACCTAAGCCAGAACCTCCAGACCCCACCATACTCCGCCAGACCTTACCAGACCACCCCTGTACTAACTATCGTACTCCTCACAAGGTTAAAAGGCCAATCAGATTCTCGAAGGACTGCACGTTAATATATTTAATCGTAACGAAAGAGGTTACAGAATCACCAAACTCACACACACACACACACACACACACACACACTTCAACATACACGCAAAGGATGATGGTAGGGGGGGGAACAGGTAGGTTGGGGGTGAAAGGGAGGTGAGGGAGGGTAAGGGGTCAGAGAGGAGGGAGGTGAGGTAAGGGTGAGAGGGGTAGTAAGGGTGGAGAGGGAGGGGTGAGGGGGGGGTAAGCAGAGAGGAGGGTGAGGGGGGGCCAAGGGTGAGAGGAGGTAGAGGGGTAAGGCAACGGTGAGAGGGAGGAGGGGTGAGAGGAGTAAGGTAAGGGTGGATGGTGGAAGGGAGGGAAGGCAGTGTTGTTGGAGGGCGTAAATAACACCAGAACTTAAAGTTAACACAAGACCCGTCATTCTCGCTGGTTGAATGGATGCTAGACTGCTTGAAGATGTCTGCCTGTCTGTCTGTCTTTCTTTCTTTGTCTGTCTGCCTGTCTATTTTTTTTCTCCGTCTGCTTTGCATTTTTCCTTTTACTCTGCCTCTATATTTTTGGCTCTCTCTCAGGTAGGTCAAGGGAGGATGAGGTGGTGAAGGAAGGAGAAGGGAGGAGGAGAATAAGAAAGTGAGTGTTACACAACCAGGTTAATAACAGCACCAACCCACAGTAGTCACTAGTCTAGGGGCGGGTGGGCAGCGGGGATCGGCAGGAACAGGGACGAGGTTGGAGATGGGCAGGGCTGTGGTCAATCCCCATCCATCTTTCCTCACTCCTCCTTCCCTCTTGATGGTGGGGAGGGAAGGGATGTTGAAGAGATATGGTGGGGAAGAGAGAGAGGTT